CTGGGAAGCTGCACGGTTCAATATGGCGGTCAGTACAAGTCAACAGACGGGTTTCAACAGGCTGAGTGCAATGGAAACATCCAAAGCGCCAACAAGATCGGTTTCTGGTGTGACACAGACGCTAGAATTGGATATGGTGACGGATCAGTGATGATGATTGGTGGAGGAGGAAGTTCTTGTGACCGTGCTGATCACGGGATTGGAATAAGCGAAGCAGATGAAGCTAGCTTTTATTATTCAACGGAATATGACTTTGGTTATGGTACAGGTTCATCGTCTCAGTCCTACTCTTTGAATGTGTGGATTCGTTGAGTAGCCGTGATTAGAAATAAGGTACATCAAAAGTTTATATTACGACCGTATATCTATTGTAATGGATCTTGTTGAAGAACCACTACAGAGAGGGACAGCGCAACAAAGCAGCATTTCCCCCCCATGATAGATAAATAATAATTTTTTTTTTTTTCGAGCAATTGGTCGACCATCCTGTGTGGTACACGTGTGTGTTACTGCCAAAACTTCCCGAGTACTGAGAAATGAAAACAAAGGCGGCAAAAATTGCTCTCGTTAGTTAAGCTGATATTCAATTTCTTTGTGCAGTTGTCATTCCAAATTTCACTCCAGTTCTCGTTGAAAGCATTTCTGACTGTGACTCAGAAAGTGAGGATGATATGCACTGACCGTTTTTTGGACAAATCTAGTTTCATTATAACTGGCTAAACTTAATTCCTGTCGTCCTCTGTCAGGAAGGATTTCATTTAGCAGCCAAAGCAGCATGAATTATGCATATGTTGCACTTAAGTATGAGGAAATGGAAGCCTAAAGGGAATTCAATTTGCCAAAATAAAGTGAACTATTGTTAATGAATATCACCTAAAATGAATGAACAATTAAAAAGTCACACAATATTAAAAGGGTAATAAATAAGTGAGATCCAAAGTTTCCTTTTACACACCCCCATCCAGAGGTAATTGAGAACCCGTCGAACATGCACTGATGAAAAATATCGGACGAATTTCCCGCCCAGTACAATACCCATTTAGTCTACCGTGTCACGGAAAGGCTCATATTCTTTCGAATTCCTCATACATGTATAATTAGATAATTTATAGCTGAAAAAGACCGACAGCAATTTAATTTATAGAACTTCCTGACAATTTGTGACTCCTCTTTCTACTCTTTTGTTAAACTGAACCGCGTCTTGGTAGCAACTGTATCATATTTTGAATTTGGTACTGTGCCAAACGATCGCCTTTTCTTTTTCTCCAGTTTTTACTCATGTCCAGGGCTAGCCATTATAACAAACAGAGCGAAATTTTGCATTGGTTGACAACTGTTTGGTTATCGAGTTTACTATGGGCAGTGTCAGAATGTTGAACTGAAAATAGCTGACAGGAAGTCTTAAATATTTATTACATCTGTTTTCGGTCAAGGTCAGGGAAGTTGTCCTCTGGTGAAATAAACCCCTTAATTCAACAATTTTGTTTACCGTTCAAACTGAAAGAAATCGGTGAAACTAAAAGGAAATTAAATATCCTGGAGAAAATAGAAAGCGCTTCCAAGGTGGGAGAGGTTGACTTGCTGTGCTGTCTGTCTTTCACTCTCAACTAAATTAAAAGCTGTTAAGAAAAAAAGTTGTTGTCAGGACAATGTGCAAACTTTGCTCTTGACTTGCCAGTAACTTTCATTCACAGAAACAAATAAATGGATTGGTGGACTCTGGACTTAGTAGTAGTTAATAGTGAAATTGTAGTGAAATAGCCTGGAAAAGTAAAGTAAGGTTATACCCCCTCCCCCCCCACTACCCCTTTAATGTCTCGGCGCATTGTGTAATATTTGGGGCACTAGACGAGATGAGCATCGAATGAGCAGAGCAGAGCAGGGAATAACATTGTCATTTCATTCCAAGTTTCTTTAAAGTAATTATATGGTGTGTGCTATTTATTGGCCTCTTCGACGAAATCATACACTGATTTAAACGAAAGTCTCAAAATTTAGTCACATAAACTGCACTGTATCCCAAAAAGTCTAGCTGTGCGGAGTCAAAGCTTAATTATTATTATGCTGTCAAGCGCTGCGTGCGTGCAAGATGAACCAAATACTATACTCCGTGATAGATAAAGGTATCTTGCCCATTTGGGATAACTAGTGTTCTTTATGCCATATTGACCAAGCAGGCTGGATATTGGACTCGTTCTCCGTCTCGGTCCATAAACACGCGAATAATAAGCACTTGGCCAACATCCAGTCATCTTGACTTCACACGGTCAATAATCCATACATGAAAAGAAACATCACATGGCTATTCACTTTTGTAAAAATTTGTTACATTTCGGGCACTGAGTAACATCTCAATTTTCAGACAAGACTAGGACAAGGAGGGGGAACTTCTCACATCCACCTTCGCCAAGAGTTTTATTACTACAGTTGCTATACAGTGTTACCAACGAAAAGGACTAAGCATCTTTTGGAATGACCCCTACCATGCTCTCAGGATATCCTCATCCGTCCTTTAAGAATACAAAATTACACGTGCATGATATTCATGCCGGGACTAAAACAACGAAGTTGTCATCTTTCAGTTGGCACTAAGGGGTCAAAGTTTTTTTCCAAGCGATGATAGATCAGTTATGTCTTGGCATATTCCGTATACAGGAAGACGAAACTGCTGCTAAAAGGAAATCAAACGTTCAGTTTACACGACAGTCGATCTTCTTCCTGTTGTTCAGACAACTGTTTGTTAATTAGAGCCGATCATGGAACCAAACAAGAAAACTTCCTCCAAATGTGGCAACGTTCTCCACAAAGGTTCTTCGTTTCTGTCCTTTACTTCGTTGTTGTTGATTGTTGCGCTGTCTTTGAGAATGGAATCGATAAACAGGAAAACAGAGATGAACGAACTGCGAATTTCGAAGGTCGAAAGCCGCGTCGAGACCGAATCGCCGCAGACAACAGACCACAAAAACGAAATGGAAACACGAGAGAGTAAGTACAAGATGACACTTTGCCATCGCTATATATATATGTACTACAAGATTCTATTGGGGACTGAAGTTTAGTAACTGCACGCATGCATGTGCATTTCACAGCCGCTGCTACTACATTTTGTCACGAGCGAAAAAGCCGGCGACAGTAGTTACCCAAGAAGTCAGAGACCGTTTTCATATCTAGCCATGGTTCCTGGCTGCAAACACTAAGTGTAAGCGCATGTCTCGATAATCATGGACGAGTTTTGGTGAAAACGAAACGTTAAAATCATCACGACATTCATTTACAGTAACGTCGTCACTGCACTCACAGAGGTATAAAAAAAAAAACTTTACGCGTCTGGACTCGACTGACATTTTGCGTTTCTTGCGGCTTACAGTAAGACTCGTAACTTCTTGCGCCTTCTTGCGCTTAAACATTCAACTTCCTGTTTCCAAACTTTCCTGCAGGCAAACCGCAAAAACACCACATTTACATTTCTTATGCTTGTTTGCGTGTTCTTGTGGCGTAAGAACTTCTTGTGCATTTCTTGCGCGTGAATGAAAGGAGTAGTCTAAGATATACATGACTGAACACGAGTTACATGAAGCGTGTTTATAACCTTACTGATCGGGTGATACTGAAACCAAAAATAGACGAAAATAGACGACGGTTTCTCACTTCTGTCTTCGTTATTTGATGCCGTGCTTTCCTGACATATACCGATGTTATTTATTTCAAGTCAGGATGTATGTGATGTCAAAACATACATTTTTGTTTTGGTAGAAGAAATGGGTTTTAATATCAGGGCAATGGGATTGTCCCTAGCTAGACTTGTAGGTTTGTTGATATACAATCTTGTTTATGAGAGATGGCAGGGGTCGACACAGCTCAAATTGAGATGTTTTGTCTTTTTTCGAAATTGCCCTAAAAGGAAAATATCACGACTTAACTAACAGAGTATAACTGAAGTGTCTGTTGACGTTGAAGACTAAATCCGCCTACAAAATAACGAGGCTGGTTATTCTAGAAACTTTCCAAACACATCATCCATAGTATACAATCCGTGATGACAAAACTTCCAAATAGGCCTCTCTCCGCTTTCTTTTCACACAAAGAAACATACATTCCCTATCCACTAAATTAGAAGACAATTCTAGCTCAAGAGATAAGAATATAATTGTAGTGTGGCTTTCCACCCACCTATACCTTCAATCAACCTCCGTCAGGGGTTTACAGTGATGTAATAAACGAAGAAGTCTCAGTATTTTTTCTTTTTCACAATGATCCTTACAGGATTCTCAGAATACTTCCCCTCGGGCACTGATTATCAAATTAAGTAAAGTTACATTCATGCCGGGAGATATTCTTGGCACTCAGAGAAAGATTAAAGTTTCTTCCAAACGATGATAGATCAATTAACAACGGTTTCGCTTTACAGTTGAATGTCTTGCCGGGCATATCCCGTATACAGGAACACGAAACTGCTGCTAAAAGGAAAT